TGCACATCCACATAGCTACACCTATAAGAACATTTTGTATTGTAGCAATGCCTTATGTAGTAAGGTTTCAATCAGTGGCCGTGTATATAATTGTAAATGCCATATAACTGAGACTATACCATCTGTTTGTACAAGGCACTCTATGATGCTCATAATGATGAAATTGCCCAAGAATATATCTCTCAGAATGGATCGCTGTCATCAGGACACTAATTCTCATAATAATTACAGTACCAGTAAGACACCAAGTGTAGCAAAGTTCTAAAGCTGATGAGGGTCAGGTTTGGAAGCCATTTCAGAGAGGCTTGTATATTTTTGGTAAGGATGCTTGCGTAATTTGTGTGACTACTGTAACACGTAATTGAGGAGATACACGTACGTATAACCTTCTATGGGAGGCTTCCTTATGCTGCTTTCCTACTTCTTAACATGGCATCACAACCCCGGGGGGTCCTCAAAATGTAGCAGATACATCTTTGAAGGGGATGGAACTGCTCTAACTGCCCCAAGAATAGGGAGTACAATGTGAAACAGCAAAAAGCTTTTGCCACAGAGAACACAGAGGTGTGTTGTCCATAGTTCTGAGATGCCCAGATGAGAAAACTCAGACTGAAAAGAAAACCAGACCAAAATGTTGGACCCTTTTCCCACTTTTGACACAGAACTAAAGAAGATAGTGTTTGAGAGTTTCCTTTTCTGGAACACACATAACCTCTCTGAAATACTGTGACTATCATAAGCATTTGGCTATAATCTTGGACAATATTCATTAGTCAACAGAAACCCAAAGCTTGACTTAAGGATTTCACAGAAGCTCTAAAAGCTATTGTGGTTACTTTGTGTAAATTTTCTTTTTTTTTTTTTTTTTTTATATCCCACCAACTTTGTCCTCAGTGAATTCTCAACAGCATTTCACATCTGAACATCTCAGAAGATGAAACTGGGATAAGGAAGGATTTTGGTCTCATTTTTCCATTCCACTCTAGCCTTCTCTACAGCGAGACTGTCACACCCTAGGTTCACCCAGTTCACCTAACAAGCAGAATCCATCTGATCCGGTGAAGTGACTCCAGAAAACCAAGGAATCACTCGGGGAAGGGCCATCAAAACTGCAGCTGCTGGGGATGGGAGGAGCCAGTGTGAATGAAGCAATTCTTAACTCGAGAGAGCGTGTGTAATTTGGCCAAAACAAAAGACAAAAAACCTAGTCTGTGGAGTGTGGCTGGGGATAAAAGATATTTTTGCCTTAGAGTCCAGATTTCCAGAGATTATAGCCAGTTTTTTGTTTGTTTGTTTGTTTGTTTTTTCCTGTGCTGTTGGTCCAAACACATTTCCAAAGTGATTTGCAGAACAGTTCTGTTTAACCTGACTCAAAGCTGCTGAGCAAAGTTCCGATGATTAATTTAACAGCCCCTTTTTTCTGAAGAGGAATTTGTGGGGTACAGTAATACACACCACGGTGGCACCCTTCCCGACTTACTCAAGCGCGCCCTCCCCGCATGCTGGGAGAAACATGGCCTGAGCGCTCTCAGCGAGTCCCATTTCAGGACCCGTCCTCCCTATGGAGCCGCTCAGTCTGACTTCTCTGGGATATACATCTCCAGGGCTTGGTCTAGGCAGGGAAATGGCTTTAAGATAAATAGGAAGGGCTCTCCCCAGGCCAGAGGTCTCCTCTGTGAGATGTGGAGGTCTTCACTGTGACTGTGTCGCACTTCAACTTCTCTGATTGTTGCACCCTCTCTCCTTCATCCTGCATAGGAGCAGAGACTGAGACCACTCCTGATAAAGTTCCTGCATTGAAATTTGTGTCTTAAGGTTTGTTTCCCGAGGGTGGAAACAGGCAACATTTTAAGATACCATTTCTAGAACAGTTGGCAGGAGCTGAGAACCCATTTTTAGCACACCATTTCTAGAAAATTTGGCATAAGTAGAGGGTGCAATTTCTAGCCTTAACATATTTTAGTCAGGGTAGATAAATGGCTTTTACATTTTAAATTTTTAAAAATATTTATATTCTATTTATTGAGTTATATTTACTGTGAATCAACTTAGTTGGCAATTGTGTAGTGTTATCTTCTTGGAAACTGCTGAAAAAAAAAATCTGAAATGTTTTCCTTTTCAATTCACAGAGGGTAATTTCAGCTTCATTGCAGCCAGGTACCTTGACCTTGCAGAGAGATCGCTGACGACTCTCAGAGTTATGTTGAAATTTACCCATCACGGGCGATACTGAAAATGGGGCTGTGACTTTCCAATTTTCAAGCGGGGAAGCGTGAGGGTGTTGCCAATGATATAACAAGTGATCCTGGGCACATTTGTACAGTAAAAGGGTTTGGGTGAGAATTTTATGGGGGTTGTTGTAATACGAGATGAAGGCATGGACTTGGATGGAACTGTTCAGAACTGGACAAATAATCTAAGTCTGGAAGGCATCCGTACTCTCTGATGTCGTCTAAGGATCTGGACAGTCCCCAGGTATCCTCAGGTGCCTCTGCCTTCCACAAGAAGACTTATCTCTGGGTTCAGAATGATGCTTCTGCTCTCTTCATTTCCCACTTGGTGGGAAGAGGGAAGAGCAGAGTCTTTCCTGAACCCTCAGTTCTCCAGATTACTGACCAGATAAATTTTCTGATTGAGTGTCCACACTGGAGAAATCCTGGGAAGCTTCTATTGCATTGGCCACAAAGAGGGAACTGTGTCTTGATTTCCAGAAAACCAACACCTATTGTAGGAAACTCAGGCGTATTTGTGGTCATGGCAGCTTAAAAATTGTTCTGTGTTCTGGCCTAGACCCATTAGTTAAGAAATCAGAGGTGATAGAAGGGGCCAAAAGAGTGAATCTGGAATGGATTCTACTTGTCATCCGTATTATATTCTCTTTCTCTGGTATAGGTAGAAAACATTTTATGTGTGTTAAAGTAAAACGACCCCTTTAGAAATGCTATACTCTGAAGGCCACCAAGTCCTCAATTCCTAATTCTGTTCTATATTCTTTCTTGAATAGGCTATGAATGACCATCAAGAAGATAACAAGAAGAAAGAAATGGTAGAGATGGGTCTGAGATGAACACCAAATTTAGGAAAATGAGAGACCATAGGAAGGAAAGGGCCAGTATGTGACCATGAGGAGAATGTCATGCTGCAGCTTCCTGGGAACGCCTGCTGAGCTGCTCATGCCTACATAAGCACAACGTGGCAACTGGGTGACAGAGGAATGAATGACACATGTCTGGGCTAGAGGGATTTACAGAACATTTTGTCCAAACCCCTCATTTTACAAAGAGGAATTAGAATCCTAGAGACTGGCAAGGAACTGGCCCAACCCCTCAGCTAGTTACTACGTGGCAGCTTGAACCTCCATATCTGTTCTCTAGCCAAAGCCCTCCAAGTTTGGACTGAAGACAAGAGAGGAGGCGAGCGTGAACTTTGACCCTCAAGAACACAGAAACTCTCAAGACATGTACCTCAAGCTGATCAGGACTGGACTTTCTACCCACATTAAGTAGCTCTCAGGTCTTAACGCTGAGTCATTTGGCCTCAGACCTGTGTCTGAACCAAAGGAGCACCTTGATCTCTGTGTGATGCTGGCTCCTGCAGAGATCACTGGGGGAAGGTGTCCTTCATGCATGTGTTGGCCTCAAGGCTATGAGCTGAAGTAGGCCTTGGAGTGGCAGCAGGGATCCTTTCCTAGACACCAGGAAACTCCTAGAGGCACTTCTGGCCCATTGTTTCGGGAGACATTTCCCCTCTACTCACTAATCCTTGTTACGTGAAACCAAAGACAGGCTGTTCAGTGGGATTTGACCATTTCTAACCTCTTTATAATGAGTAAAGGAAAAAAACCAGGAAGGAGTCTGTGATACAAGATACCTGTCTGGGGGGCGGGGTAAAGAAAAAGGAAAGGAACGGCTCATATAATTTTTCTTGTCTCTGTTCCTGAAACATTGCTTTTAAGCAGGGGACATGTAGGTCTCGTAGATACTACTTATGAATTTCTCTCCTAGTTATCTGTCCTTTATTATAAATTATTGTAGAGCCCGAGTGAATTAGAGGCCCTGAGCACATTCTCTGCACTAAACTCACATCCAGCCCTGATAATATGTGCCTCCATTTCCTGAGGCTTTTCCTAAGACCCCAGTCTAACCACATTCATGCATAGTGGGGCAAGAAGAGGGGAAGACTCGATGACTAATATGAGTCCTATTTTAGCAATGGAATACTATGACCAATGGTGGTAAAAGAAAATCTTCCCAAACCTAGAAAGCAGAAGAGTCAGGATCTTTGGAGACCTGTCATCTTCTGTATGCTTTAGCCTTTTTCCAATGGATGGCTTTTTAGGAGATGGGAAGGAGACAGGAATTTAATTGTATTCACCAAGTGATAATCTTGGGCCCTCAGTGGTAACACTGCAAGTAAAAATAAATATGCCAAAGCTATTTATTTCCTTCGTTTGACAAATTATTCAATCCCAGACTATGTTCAGAGATAAGAGTTTTGATTATTATTTTTTGCTTTTTGAAACAAAATGGTTGTTTAATTTGTTCATAAAGATGAAACATACAAATTTAAGGTATAATTTTGGGATACATTAGAGGGATGAAATAATCACAGATAATTCCTGGACTGAACTATATTGCTAGGATCAAATCCTTAAGACGAGATTCAGCATAAAGTAAGACGTGTGTATATAGTAAGTTGGAGAGAGCATAGACATTATCAACCTCAACTGCCTTCTACTATGTTGCCTCAGTTATAGCTCATAACGGTCATGAGAAGACATTTTAAAATCTAGACTTTCATAGTTCTTGCTTCTAGAACTAATAAAAAGACAAATAAATGAGCCTTGAATATTCAGAAGCATCCTATTACATGGTCTCATACTTATTTTACACAAGTCCTGCTCCCTTTTTCAAAGGCTAATAATAAATAAATCCATTCTTGCACTTATTCCACCAGTGTTTATTGAGCATTTAGTATTACATGTCACATAATCAGTTACATTTGGTTTAATGAGGCAATTCTATATATCCTTGACCACAGATTTTTCTATGTACTTTGAGAGCTGTGTTTGACAAATGAAAAACTATTCCCTGTGCTGTTAAAAAAAAAAAACATTCTGTTGCAAACTGATTCTCAAACAACGACATCAATTTCCTTGGGGGTCTGCCACAGGATGTGGCTTCTGAAGCTTGTTGCTTTTCTCAGTCATTTTCATTTTCAAAAGAGATTTGAACTGTTTATCAGTTGAGACAAATAATGTGGTATCTACAACAAGCAGTGTCGCCACCAGCAGAGGGATAATGAGTTGTAGCCAGATATACATGCTTGGTGGACCTAGAGTGGAATACAGATGCAACAAGAAACATGATTCATATCAGAAATTGAGAGTGAGATTCAGAGTTTCATCTTCCTTAAGAGAAGGACTAAGTATGATCTTCCATTTTAGTACGTATGCTGCCGAAGCAGGCACATAGAACTCCATTTTTAGCATGATGTGGCCTCCAGGAGCAGAGAAGAAACACTCAGGAGACCGGGTTACCCTGTCTGTGTTCCCAGTAACCCCTATCGAAAACCTTTCCTCTAGCCAGTGTGCTCAAGAGAAAAGTCAGCAAAAAATGACTCTTTTCTTGAAGCTGACATGACCACCATCTGCATACCGTTTGGAGGTTGAAAGGAGACCAAGTGAAGACGGGGGTCACCAGTGACTTATTTTAATTAATCAACCATCATTTCTTGCACAACTACTTGGTGACATAAAGTCCTGGAGTACTTCTGTTACCTTCCAATTCTACGGTTTGGTGACTCGTTCTAGAACTATAGAGCTCCCAAATGTCATAGAGAGAAATTACTTAGGGACCAGTGTATCTCAACATTGGTACACACGATCATAACTTGAAAGATGCTCTGAAAATATCGCTGCCCAAGCCTCACCCCAACCAATTAAATAAGAATCTAAGGAGATGAGTCATGGATATCAATATCTTTTTAAGTTTCTTAGGTGATTCTAGTTGAGTCTAGGCCCAACCTTCTATTTTACACACAAGAAATCCAGAAACAAATAGCACTTTGGCCTCAAATTGCAAACTGTCAGCAAAGCTAACTCTGACAATTCTTCTTATGGTTTTTTATACGTAATTATCAACATGCTGAAAAAAGACATCTGATTTCTTCTTTGCAAACCAAGTATTTCAAAGGCTCCCCATGCTGTATACAAAGTTTGGGAAGTACAGTTTTTCTTGAGGGCCATAAAGGCAGCCCACCTGCCTACCTGCTTCAACTTGAGCCTGTTTCCTGCCCCCCACAACAGAAGCACATGGCTTATTGATCTAAGCCAGAATAGACTCTTTTAGGTCACCACACCTTTGTTCCTTTAACTTTGGAACTCCTTTTCATTTTGATGAATATAAATACCTCCCTCAGGAGAAACAGATGAGTTTAAGATTTAAAAACAATCACAATCTCTTACATCTGTGCAGTGCTTACTGTGACAGCTTACAAAGTCCTATGATTAACACTAGCATACCTACCTACTTCATAAACAGTCTTCACAAAACTCCATCGTGTGAGCAGGCAATGTCACCATTTAACGAAATGGACTCTAGGACTGAGACATATGCTATAGCTTTGGTCACCTCATTGAAAATCTAGTAAGCTTTCTAAGTTATCTTGGTTGCCCCCGTTCTACAAGCTGTAAACATTTCAGCCTCAGATATCCTCTCTTACTTCCTCTGCTGCAGACTATTTCTTTCTCCTTTACCAACTCACCTTTTATGACAGTAATGTTGAGGGACTCAGAGACATATCTCTCATTTTGCTTCTTCTGCTTAAGCGTAAAGAAGCCCGTGCAGTGATAGGCACCGCTGTCACTAGCTGTCATAGATGTAATGGTAATGGAGACGTTGTTCTCATAACAATACTTGAAAGGTTGGCCATCCTTGTAGTAGAGTGGGGAGTATACGGTCCAATTCTTCCAACCGTGGCACCTGAGGGAGAGGGATGAACCCTCCACCACCACCTTAGCAGAAGTCTGAAGGAGCAGCCAGTCTGAAGAGAGAGCAGTTATTATGTTATTCATTTAGCAACAAATGGAGGGAAAGAGGAACAGGGGAATGAGGAAACAGGAAAAGGGGGTAGATTATAAATAGAAATATTATAGATAGATCATCAATATATAGTGATAGTATAGATTGTAGATAGGTAGGTTATATATAGGTGGGAGGTGGATAGATTGTCAGTAGATAGATGATAGATAAATTGATAGATAGATAGATAGATAGATAGACAGATAGATTTAGGGTTACAAGTAGAATGTGGATCAGCAAATATAGATTGTCATTAACCCAATACTTGACTCAAAATAAACTAAAAGTAAACACAAAATAATGCTTAGAGCTTGTCTTCTGTATTGATAAATACTCTTTCCTAAAAGTAAGTATGGAGCCATAAAAACCACTCACACCTTTCTGCTGAACTCACACATGGAAGTCCTGCAATCCAGAATTCACTTCAGAGCTGTTACAGCTAGTTCTAGTGACTTCAGAGAAAATAAACAGGGCATTTTAGCTTAGGACCCTGCTGTTCATCATCATTGCCCTCAAACTTTCTTTAAAACATGTGCAGCAGTTCTAATTATTTGTGGAATTCCTAATCTAATGTTCTCATTCCCAGTTAGCTCTATGTTTCATGAGGTCAGGGGCCTTTTCTCATTCTACACGTTATCCTCAATGTCTAACACAATGCCCAGGGGTGGGTAGATACTCAAAAACATTTGTGAACAATAAGTCAGTAAAAAAACAGAAACCATTGCCATGTAACAATTGAGAAGCCTTGATAAAAGAAAATGTTTAAATGGGAAGATGGCCAACTTGTGCAAGCATATTTTATTTAGGAGAAATCTTTGGGGACTTCTCTATAATCTGTCACAAGGAAATAAAGACATTATTCTACATTGATTTAGTTCATATTTGGAATTTACATACAGATGTTAAAATATTTATTTTCACTGGAGAGAAAAGTGTAACACTGACTTATCCATCCAAATGAAATCATTAGCTTGTTCATTCAACATTTACTGATTAACCCCCATGTGTAAGTATGTTGTGCTAATTGTTGGCAGAAGAAAAGTAATACAGATGAAACAAACATCAGAACTGTTTTTGAGTAACAACAAATGACGTGAGGAATGTACACAGATATCCCTCATAATTACCCTCATACTCAAGTCATGACACATTAATTATGTATAGCAAATTTTTAAATCAAGGCCTTTGATCCTCCTCCAGATACATAGCTTTGCAATGCTGATAAATCCATTGTGCCATTTCCCTACATAATGTACATCTGTGTCTAAGCAGAACAGATAGAGAAAAATAGAGTACAACAGTAATATTGAGAAGTGGCCAGAATATTGAAAGAGGATGAAAAGCTGAGCAGAAGGAGTGGGCGTAGAAGAGGGATGGAGAAGTTTTGGATGGGAAACCCTGAGTCTTACTTATCCTGAGGCTCTGAGCCTCAGAATAACCTACTTTCCCCTATCTTCTCATGGGCCATTCCTCACATGGGAAATACGCATTTCTATATTTCTAAGACTCACCCCTGAACACTTCCAGGTATACAGGATCACTTCTGGATAAGTTTCGGTTCTGGCATTCATATGTCCCATTGTGTTGAACGCTGGCATTCACAATAACAAAATTTGAAGTCAGCGTTGAAAAGTTGGTGCCAAGGTGAAACCACGTGGTGGGGCTGTCTTCAGTGGGATTGTTCCTGTTACATGTAAGAGTCACATTCTCTCCTTCAAATATTCTACTCCATGGGGGACTCAAGGAGATCACAGATTTATGAGGGGCTTCAAGAAGATAAAATTATGGAAAGAAATATAGAAGGAAAAAATCATCAAAAGCCATACATATGTCCTGAGTCAATAATGACTAGTTTGCTCTTGTTTGGCTTGTACTTTATCCTAATTTCTAAGGGAAGCTTTAAAGGATGGAGGAAACAGGGCTCTGACCCCAGAGACCTCCCAACATAGGAAGACAGGACACAAATGCAGGAGATTTAAGAACATAGTAATTTACTATGTGGCTTGAGAGCACTCATTCTAATTCTCTTATTAATTTAATTTCAATTTCAGAATCTATAAATGAGTCACAATCCTTTTTCAGATAGCCTCCATCTGTCACGCTTGGCCACTGCTCAGCTCAAAGGCTGGTGTATAGTAAGTGTTCATCAAATGTTTATCAAGCAAATGACTACAGGAAAAATAGATGGATGAATGTATTGAGCTGGCATACAGATGAGTAAAAAAGAAAATGTGGTATTTGTATACAAGGAAGCACTATTCTGCTACGAAGAAAAATAAGCTAGAAGCATTTGTAAGTAAATGGACGTAACTTGAGATTATAATATTCAGTAAAGTTAGACACTCAAGGTTAAATATTTCTCTTATATGAGACTATATATATATTTTTAGAGAGAGAGCGAGGAGGGAGAAAATAGAAGATAGATCAATGGGACGTGTGGAGATCTTTTTCAAATGGATGGGGGAACAGAAATGGAAGGAGGGGAAGTAGGAGGGAGGGTGGAGAGGGAAAGGGGTTGGAAAAAATAGCGAAGAAAGAGCATTGCAAGTGGGAAACGGACAGAGTTGGGAGGAGAATGGAGGACTGGGTAAGGGACGAAAGACAGAGAGAAAAAAGATGTATTATGTATGCATACCAATTTCCCTCGGTAATCATAGTCATTATGTACTACAAACAGGTACTAATAGAAATGTGTTTGGTGCGTGCTCACTTCGGCAGCCCATATACTAAAAATGTATTTGGCTCGATGAAATATACACCGGCTTTCCCGGATTTAAAGTTTATGGCTGTTGAATTATAAGGGTATATAGAGTGAAATGTATACGTTAGTTCTGCAAGGAAGTGAAACACACCGGGACAGCCAGTTTCGAATGGCTTCCAGGAGCAAAGGGATGTGGTTCCAGTTTGAAAAGAGGCCAAGAAAGTGGCTAGATGGCGACAATGAAAGGGAGCCATAGTCGAAGGAGAGCTGGACTTACAAACGCAGGGCTTATGCTGGAATCCATTTTTGTTCTTCAGCCTCCAGCAGGTAACTTAATCTGAGTTTCAGGATTCTCAATGATCAAATATACAAATTGAATGGAAATAAAGTGAAAACCCTGAAAGAGACGCTGGAACATGCAGAAGGGTAGCAGACATGGCTTTGGGCTTAAACAGAGGAGGAGATGACTTGAGAGCATGAAAGGGCATATGAGAAGCTTTGGAGCAGGGGAAAGGAGGAAAACGTAAGACAGAGATGGAAAGTAGGCTGACCAAGGAGGGGTAGACTCATTCTCATCAGAAAACAGAGGTGAAGGGATGCAAGCAGAATGTGAGGAGAAAGGAATGCACAGACACTCAGGAACGCTGAGGGCACGATGAGAGAGGACTCACCCATCAGCATTCCATCTGGAGCTGCAACAACCCAGAGACAATAAATTAGCATCTAGTCCCCAGCCCCTGGGACTACAGAGAACTGCGATCTGAGAATGACATTGAGACCCACATCCACTGAGCTTTCAGGGCCCAACATCTTCTTAGGAACCTTACCCGGCTGGACAATGAGCTTCTCTCTCTCCTCTCTCCTCCCACTCTAGTTAGAAATCTTGCATTCGAAGATGCCAAGATAATGGCTGGGAAACAGGCTCTCAGTCTGCCTCCCTCTTACATGTTTCTCAGCCCAGTTTCTTCTGCTTTCCAGTTATTTCTGCTACAAAGTCCCTGGGAAATAGTCCACCACATGACATGTCCCAGAAAAAGCCATCACTAAAACTATCAAAGTTCCCATGTCTGATGCTCCCCAGAATCCCTTGTGGCCCCTCAAGGAGGAGGGATTCACCCTCTACTTACAAAAGAGCAGCAGAGCCGTCCACAACAGGGCAGACCCATCCATGACAGCAGTCATCTCCTCTTCACCTCCAGGTGCCAACTGGGCAGGAGCTCCAGCCTCAAAATAGGCTTGAAATCAAAAAGGAGAAGGAAATGTTGTATGTGTCATATCTGTTTAACTCAGCTATGCCTGGGTTTGGTTCTTTCTCCAGAGATAATATTCAGGGCAATTTTATCTTTATCACTTTATTCTACTTCCCACCATACTTCTATATGCACACCTAAAACGTGGGGGCAGGTGGGATAAGCATAGGTGTAGGCAGAGTCCCAGGGATCCCTTAAACTGTCAATCCCTGCACAATTATTCAATTTGTAGCTTAATAATACAACAATTAATTGCCAAATGATATATGCTGGGCACTATGCTAAATATCTCATATTTTATTCATTTCTGCAAAACTTCTGTGAAGTGGGCACTACCATTATCTATGTCTTATAGATAGGAAAACCAAATCTTACGAAAGTTTAGGATACCATCTGTTAACTGGCTGACATGGGGTTCAAAGACGTAAAATCTAAACCCAGAGTTGAACTCTTAGACATTATGATACATTGCAAATGTATTTTCCCACCTATGGCCAGTAATTTCTGAAATACTTTTGAGGTTTGTCTGAGCTACCAACCATCTTGTTACTTAATTTCCTGCTGATATATTCATCTACAAATCAACATAATTTCACCTGATTCACTAGCTATCCTATCTGACTGGCCAAATTGGAGCTGTTCTTTAGAGACTCGTCCTCTGTTGGGTTGTGATCTGACAACTCATGACACAGGAAAGCAGATGTTAACCAACCCTTAAACAAGGATCTAGGTGTTTTAATTTATTGGGTTTTACTTCCTAGATTTTATCAATTTTTAAATTTATAATCATCCATCATGAGCACCCTTTCTCCTGACGTATGCATCTTTTCTTTACCTCTTTTTTCTTTCCCCTCTGACTAATTCTCCATCTTTGTTGCACAAGGGCTGTGTTGATAATGACACTGGAGACAATGATACCATAAACACCTGCAACGGGTCGCCATTTATTACGTGTTTTTTTTTAACATGCCGTATTAATTGATATTTGCCAGAATTCCCTGGTAGGAACGAACGGTATACTTAGACCCCTTTTACAGATGAAGCAAGTGAACCACTCACTCTGCTATTGGACCCTGCTCTTCCTCAGAGATTGTTGGATTAAATTAAGTCTAATTTAAACTCACAGCCACCATACCTAAAGTACTACTTGAAAACTTCCAACGTAAATAATTCCAACTTTCTGTGGCATGAGAGAATACAGGGCTAAAAGGACCATAAGTAGAAACTTTTAGATAAGAATGGTTAGTGACTGATTTCTAGGGCAGGAAATCTCTATTTTAGCAACAGATCTTAGAGTTATTTTTCTTTCCCTCTTTAGGAAAATTTCTTCACATTATTTTGAGAAGTTTAAGGCACATGTTTTGTTTTGGTTTCGTGTGGGTGCATTCATAGATGTGTATTCAGTGACTTTAATTGAAACACTGCTAATGTTTATGCATTTGAGGCTAACTTGTAAAATAGGGGCAATAATAGTATCCAGGTGATGACTTTATTATGAGATTAATAAGATAATAAACATGTCAAATCTATTGTATAGCATCTGACATGTAAAACATGTTTAGTAAACATATTTTCTTCCTTTTTCACCATTACTTATTACAAACTCTTAGAAGATATATAAATGTTGACTGAATTAAGCAATTGGAAACCTATATAAGATGCTTTATTAAATAACCAGTACCTTATGCAAGTATAATTTACCTAAGCCATCTTACTCTTCTCCATAGTCACAAAGAAGAGAATAGGATTAAGTAACACTAGAACGTGATTGGTGAGAGTAGGGGAGACAAAGGAGAAGCTGGCAAAGATACAGAGTTGAGGCACTGTCAGGGGGTGATATTGGAGTCCCTGGACCCTGGAAACAATAGGAACAGATCCTACTTCTCATTGCTGAGAATTTGTCGGGGCTTTTTGGTTCCCTTTTTTCAAGGGCAATTATCGTATAATAAAGTCGTCCAATATAGTCACTTTCTGTGACTCTGCTTATATAAAGGGTTCTTTTTTTCTGAGTCTGCACACTGTCCAAATTATCTCCTAGTTAGTTGAGGTGGGATGAGCCAGTACAGAAGTACTATTCCTAGTTTGAGGCGCATAGGATTTGATGTTAGACTATTTCTGTTTGACTTCTCATTCTAAAGCTTTTGCATAAATCTCCAGCATTGAAACAAAGCAGTTTGGTAGCAACGCCAGCAAAGATTTAACCGGCTCAATAAAAGCAGTTTATTAAAACTTGAAAAACAAACCACATGAATGATAGAGCCCATCAATATCATTATGTTATTCCAGTTACCTCTGTACCCTTCCCCAACACTGCTGCATTGGGGATAAATGCCTCAATATATGAGTCTTTGGGAAATGTTTCATATTTAAGTCATAATAATAGGTAGATTCATTCAGTCTATACATTATGACTGAAGTGCATGTGGATTTATAGTACCCCTGCAAAAACTCCTTAGATTCCCAGGAATCCATAACTCACAAGTAAAAAATCATTGATCCAGTTCGTCCAACTTCCTGTTCTATAAATTCCTTTTCTCAATTCAGGGGATGACTTATCAATGCATAGCCACTCAAAGTTTTCAGCACTGGTGGCATCTCATAAATCGTGTGCATCATTTCTAAAAGGAAATAAAAAACAGAAAAATCCTTGCCTTTGTCCTATAGATGATTAGGTCTTAGTCTCAGCTCTGGCTTTTTCCTTTTGGCACCTTGAACAGGAGTTGACTTAGGGAAGAGAACTCAATAATAGGTACTCACTGTCTGGTGGATTTTCACATTAAAGTCAGTGGCTTATACTTTTTACTTTTTGTCTTGGTCTAAATGGTTACTTACTTTGGGTCCAAAATATATATGAAACAAATAAATGGAAGCTCCCAGGACTCCTAAAGTAAATGCCACTCAGAGAGAGATGAAGGCTTGGATTATACAAGCAGCAATATTGAGTACAGATAGAAATTTTTTCCCCCTCAGGAAAAGAAAAATGAAACTTCAAGAAATAACACCAAAGATGCTCCTTTGTCTTCCACCTTTTCTTTTTCTTTTTTTGAGACTAATTTATCTCTAATGTGAAAGGGAGAATCAGGTGGGATATTTCACAAGTATCATTTGAATGGATACCAGCTACACAGTATATTAGTGGTAGCTGATTTTAATAACAGTGCTTTCATTCAATTTTCAAAGTTACCACACTATTTGGAAATTGCAGATTTAGATGGCTGGAGCCAATATACCACAGACTGTTTACAAGCAGATCCTGCCAGATATACAAATTGAAGGCTATCGATAGAAGCTAAGAGGTTAAAGGTTCAGGTACATGGTCACTTTCTGATGGGATATGGAAACTTGACAGGCTGGGAAAAGATTTCCTAACTGGTGCTAGCATTCTTAACTAAATTATAATGTAACAGAAAACCTGTTGATATGTTCCCTAAAAATTCTCAGAGATGGCCTTTGACTTAGGGCAATTTATTTTGTAACATGATCTGTTTTCTAGTGTGTAGGTGTGGGCATCTATGACAGCAAGCTGCCTGTCTTCAGGACGTACAGTAAGTCACTCACACATTGCAGATGAGACCTCCATGTGGCACCTTGTAGTTAAAGGGGGAGTCTGAGCCACAGATGCAGTCAAGAAAACCGACTCCAACTTTGCCTTGTAACACTGTGTTCCAGTTAAGGGACTCCAAGGACTTCAGGCTTTCCTTCTTGTCCTTCAACAGATGTAAACATGTAAGGAGCTGATTTTTCCCTTAGAAGGCAGAAAACATATTATTATAAATCTGCCAAAGAAGCGTCTCAGGCATGTAGTGGTGGAAGGAAAGTTTTTAAGGGTCAGAATATTAAAATTTTAAAATTAAAAGAAAAATATTAATCAGTAGCCAAGTGTGTTTCAAAAGAAATTTAAGTGCAGGATTAATTTAAGAGCCCAGGCTGTGAACACGCTCTTGAGTTTGATCCTCAGGTGAGACCACTCATTGGCTACTTATCACTTGCACATTACTGAATCTATCCTTGCCTCAGTCTCCTCACCTGTAAGATAGAGGTAGAATACTTTCTTTCAGGGTGATACTTACATGCTAAGTGAGTTTTAAATGAGTTAATACGGTGTGCTTAGAACAGAGCACAGCAGACAGGACATGCTATATACATTAGCTCTTACTGGTGTGCTCGTTATTTTGTAAGGAGCTATTGCTTAGACTCATAAGTAGCAAAAAACAAACAAACAAACATTCCTTCCCTATCTTTCTGCCAGTAGGATTTACTCCCTCCTCACACAATGCAGGCCTACAGATATGGGGTAGGGAGCTTGAAGATCATTTTTAGTTGTGGTTCTAGACAGAGAAATTCTGGTTTTGCAGAGTCAGCCCTCCAGGCAAATGTAGTGTAGGCCAGTTTATTTTATGCTTCCTTATAGAATTACACAGTTAAAAAATGGAAACAGCTTTTTCTTAAAGGAATCCCTTTAGGCTGTTAGCAGATAAGGACAAGAGGTCTTAGCCCAGCCTAGAGGATTTGCATTTTAATAGGTAACTTGGGAAGCCCTGATCTTTCAGGACCCTGGCTAAATAGTACTGTGACCAGTGTGTTTTTAGGGGGTGAAGTGGGCAAGGGTGAAGGTTGGGGAGATGGAGACAGGCAGAGAATCATTCTGAGTCTTTTCCATCACGGTCATTATACTCCCTACAAGTGTTATTTCCTGCCGAAGACCTTTGGGAAAAGTGTGTGTGTGTGTGTGTGTGTGTGTGTGTGTGTGTGTGTGTGTGTGGAGGGGGGGGGGGTGTGT